TTTTGTTGTTCAGTGTTTCATTTCTACAGTGACAATAAAAAATTCAGATTCTGGTTTTTTCAGAACTTAATAACTTGTACTTGCATACATTTGTTTAAATGGATGATCTTGGAATCTGCAGTTGTTTAGAAATGGCTCCAAAAGACCTTCCCAACTTTCCCAACTAGTTCTCCTTCAGAACTCCATTGTTCTGAGTATTGGTCAGTGCAATAACGGCCATGCAAATCCTTTATATGGCTGCAAAGAGGAAATACCAGTTGTAGTCAATCATGATCGCTAATGAGATGTTAATAGGCTGTCGCCTTGTCAAGTTAAAAGACATTGTAGAACCTTCAGGATCACAAAAGATTTAAGTGAGTTTATGTATATGTTTGACCCAGTATGTGTAGTCTGTGACTTAGAGAAAATCTTAAATAAATTCAAATGTGTGCACTCAATTCTTGTTTTTAAAGCCATTAAAGATGTATATGCACAATCATTAAGCCCTGGAAAAAGAAGAAAGAAATCATAAAAACCCCTAAAATTACTGTAACACTCATGCCGATGATGAGTGAGTGTAAACTTGTGACCACAACTGTATACGCATTAGAAGGATTTTTGTTTAACATTGTATTTTGAGAATAGAGAAGCGTTAGCCCTGTTATAGACTGGCAAGCTGTCTAGTGCGTACCCTGCCTCTCATCTTATGACAGCTGGGATAGGCTCCTGCCATCCCTCAACCCTGAATTGGATAAGCAGAAGCAAATACATGAATGGCTGGAGAAGAGACAATAGAAAAAAAAGGGAAAAGGAAAAAAACTAAATACTATTCTGAGGGAAGCAAAAGTTAAATTGTTGAGAATAAAGTTGTTTCAAATCCAACTGTATCATTAGTGCATCGCTGCTGGATCCTCTACAAAATGCCTTGTGTAGATGAGTTAATGAAAGCACACTTCAGAATTTTCAGCACACAAACACGGTGTGGAATAAGTATGAGGGCTTTAAAGAGATGGTGCAGAAAACTGTCTGTTCAGAAGAGAGAAAAAAGAGTTGGCTGCATTTGTGCAGAGTGAAATAATTGGCAATGGACAAACACAACAATATCGATGCTTTAGCAAGTACAAAGGATGTATGTTGTATCAGAAGATCAGGCTGTGACTTGAGAAATGCCCATGGACTAAGGGAGTTGACTTCATTCTCGAGATTATATTTATTTTCAGAATGAAACAGTTAAAACAAATTTTTTTCTTTTTGTGGCTTCGATGCTACTGAGGTTTGCAGAAAACTTGCTGCATCACAGAAGTAAGAAACAACTGACCTTTTGCTGATGCTGAGAAATAAGACTCAAATGAAATATAAACAGGGATGTAGCATACTCTGCCTTCTTACAAACGCTTTAGAAGATTGAAGGAACTCTTCAGTGACAATAATGAGAACAAAAACACACAAATACAAGAAGAAGGGCCATGGCGTGCTTGTATTTACTTCAGTGGCTCATATAGCAGCAGAACTGATCTTCGGTTTGGACCTTGCCTAATTAACGTGTAAAAATAACGCTGGTGACAGACTCGCAGGTCGTTCATTCACTCATACTATGACACAGTTTGTCTTACTTTACATTTTTCTGTCATTTAAATTGTATTTGGAAGTCTTTCTTGCTTATTGTTTGTCGGGCATATTGGTTCTAATTAGGTGTAATCCTTTGTTTGGTTTACAATCTCACTGTTGCAGGCCTAGCAGAGTGCGTTTGGAGTAAAGTTTCAGCTCATAATAGACATGGAAATAAGGAGAAGTACGTTTTCTCTTTGACTTCACTTTTTCAAGTTTTGTCTTATCTATTGAATACGCTTAAGTTTGACACATAAATGTGTTAGTATTATTAAACTTACCTAACTTTTTTTAACTGATTACTGAGGATTTGTCTAAGTGAGATCCTAACAGCAACGTTTTATGTGCTTCATAGCTTCAAAGTCTTCGTTCTTACAGGTGAGTGATAGATGTTTAAATTAAACACCTTCCAATTAGTTCACACTGATGCTTGTCCCAAAGGTGATCACACCATAATCTAATGACTTATTATGATTATAAATAAATTCATCTGTCACAATATTCACACATTGCTTCCTTGATATATGAGAGTGTTTGTTATTTTTTCATGAAACAGGTTTCATATAAACTGGCCTGTTGGGTGTTTAGCCAAGAGTGAAAATAAAGCAGAACAACAGAGGTGTGAAAGCCAGGCAGCCTGAGGCAGTGCTCTGCCCCGGGCACTGCACATACCCAGATGTGATGAGCTTGTTATCTGTGTTATTTACTGGCAGGCTCTACTGCCCCCAGGGCTTTCATCATCTCTCTCAGGCGATGTGAATTTTCATGATTGGGTTCTATAATTTTAAGGCCAAGGTAATTTCTGTAGTCTAGTCTTTTTCCCTCTTCCTCTTTC